TCAAACACGAGTGTCCGCGGGTTAGTGAGGTCTTATAGGGGTGTTTGGGAGACGCGTACTAGTATTTGCAAAAACGTTGTCTGAAGACACGGCGCAATAATTTTGATGAAGTATATGTTAGTTGACGTAAAAGAAATATGGGCGTTAGTGTTCATTTTTATTTTGTCATGAAAGGGGGTTGTAGAGTGTTGCACTCGTTAAGAATTACAGTAAGGGTTTGCTCGATGTTTCTCAGCTGTCACGGCGGAATTATTAATATGTCAGGATAATCTAGGAAGAAAGGTAGATAAATGAGAACTATAAATCATCAACCGTCCCAACAGTCCAATGCGATGTATATTGTATCTGTCGTTAGTCTGTCGTTAGTCTATCGTATACCTGTCGCGCGTTTGTCGTATCGTAACGGCGTGTAAGAGCTCGTGCAATTTACACGTACGTCTAGATAAACGTACGTTCAGAATCACCCTCAACACCACTATGTAGGCGGAGACCATTTTACGTTTGTCATGGCGCAACACTGGTAAATGAACATTCCAACGTGACGGCTGTATCCTCTAGCTGTCGTGCCTGGACCCCTCCCTTCCAACTGACGACCTTGTTTGTGCCTTATACACACAGACGTTCATCTCGGCCTTGTTTAGACGGGGCGTGCCGAGTGTGTTTTCCTTGTTTGCCAAACAACTATTTGTGGCTTCTGAACGATTGTCGTAAACAACTCTTGTGTCAACTGTTTTCATTTCAGTTCTTATAGAAGGGACTCTCGCGTTGTGTTCTGATAACCCAAAACAATCGACTTTCTCTCGATATGAGCCATGTGTATTGTCTTAGAGCCATCCACGTGGTTTGGCATTCTAAACATGTTATGACTTACATATCAATAATGGGCTGTACATAGTCTGTTCTGTTGTTGGATGTAATGTCCAGACATTTTACTAGTGGGTCTGAATATAGATACGTGACACAGGATGTCCAATTGATAATTCACGTAACTACAGATTTGGAGGAAAACTCCACCTATGTAAGTAGCAAAGTAAAAATTTTCATTTTTGGCATGGATATTTTAGTCTGTTGTAAAACGCAATCCTCCAGCGAGTTTGGCTCGTATCCTTATGAATTTTTACTTTTACAAGTTCTGTAAGCAGACAAACATAAGCAAATAACAACATACAGACTGTACACTGAGAAATAAGCTCATTCAGCAGATCTTGATACGGTCTTAGTGACAGGCAGGCCTTCACCACCAACTGTGCAGGACGTGATCCTAGATCCTACATGTATGCGAGGCTAACTACATACAGTGACAGAAGGTGACACCGTGTTAAGCTAAGGTCCCAATTACGCCGGTGCCCGTCGGGGATGTAGCCCCGGCTGGCCCCGGCCGGGTTCAGGAGTCGAGCGGGCATCGGCTGTCGTGGTCACAATTAACAGTTTCCTTCAGTAGCATTTTGTTAGAAATTTTGTCACCCTCTTTGGTCGGTATCCGGCAGGCACCCGGCATGTACCCAGCAGATTCTCTGACGATGTCTTGTATTGACCTATACGTAATGCAGAATTCACGTATTTGTTGTGATCATTTGATCTGTGAGGTCACACATTTTACCCGGGTTTACGAAGTACACACCTTTATTCTGTTCATCTGGTCTGTGACGTAAGAAATGTGTCCCGGTGGAATGCCGGCAACCGGAGGGGTACCTCTCGGTGTTCTCACGATGAGGTCACGGCGTCTTTTTGTCAGCGGGGCCCGGGTAGAATTTAACTCAGAATTAAATCCTTCTCGGGGCCCCGACGGGCCAAAAAATAGCCCGGTAGCCGCAGGGTGCCCCGCGGGGCCACGTCGGGGTCCCGCCCGAAAGTGGTAAAAAAACAGCCCGGGAACTACCCGCCAGGGCCCCTTTTCCCAATTGGGACCTTAGCTTTACTCACACACACACGCAGGCAACACTCAAGTGACAAGAGGCAAGACGAACACTGTCGTACAGAGCGCAGGAGAAATGTTGAACCCACAGAAGCCAGCGCAGACACGCAGGAAGGCTAGGAGAGACGCGGCACATACTAATGTCCTTAATCGCACCAACCCCCGAAGCCAAACACGATATCCTGATCCGAGCGCAGTGGAATGGCATCAATGTACAAAAGCTTCCTCAGTAGTTGATGAGTGACTATATGGCTGGCATCCAGCGGGAGCAGAGCCAAGTTTCCTACACAGTTAGTCCTAACATCAAGTGTATATATATCACCACTTCCCCCTTTACACCCCACTGTGTGCAGCTGAATAGCCGGATAATAGTTAACGTGGCAGTGTTTCAGTGTTCAAGTACAGTGGATAGAAAAGAGGTAGTCATTTTACAGAGCTGCTTATCGTCCATGATCGTTGGCATGCGGCGATAGCTATATACATGTAGCTAGCTGGGTTCCCTCCCTCACCCCTCCTCCATGAGCCAGGATAATAGCCAAATTTAGCCAAGACGGTCGCAGTGTAGTAAGACTATACGAAAAGGACATATATTCAGTCATGATGATGGTATTTGTATAATACTCGATGGATAACTGTACTCCCAAAGAGAAATTGTAGCGGAGCACAATTTTTATCTTCTGCACGAAGTCTGGCTAAAAAAACGTGTAAGCCTTGTCCTCACGTGAATTTTTGGTATTACTTTTTGATGAAAAGTCCCCGTGCTCTTCTGACACTGGGTAATACCAAAAAACTCGACCAAATAAACAAAAACACCTCAGTTGGAACGAGACATTGAATGATTTGTAATTTTCCGGTTACTATTACTAAGAAGCTAGACTTTAGATAGAGTAGAATCTGCTTTACACATCTTGCATGGCGTCTTCACTTCAGTTTGCCAACCACTTGTAAACCTTGTTATCTCCAGTTTGATGCATCCAGTTTAATCCACACATGACGAGTAGTATGACAATGGACCCTGCTAACAGACAGCTATGTTTTAAGACGTTTGCTCAGCCGAGACCTTGGACCGGAGCGGGTGGCCTTACCCAAACCCTGGCTTCAAGTCGGAAATGTCAATGTTGATCTAAAGACAGGCCAAAACGAAATGTTAGGATTTCTTTTAAGTACAATGTATCTCTTTCAGTTCAATCCTCAAGACGACTTGGAATGCTGTTTATTCTCGCATGGCCAGTATGAATGGAGTGTTCGGGGTCCAACACAACCACTCACCCCGGCACATATTCTAACGTTTAATTTTCTGTCTATTTATTGGAAGTATTTGCGGAATGTTGATGTGCATGTCTTCGTAGATAAGATACTGGTTAACTACTACAGTAATTCTATAAGGTAGTATGCTACCATGTTAGCTTCCATAAGATTTTTTTTGGGTATTCGTATATTCATTCCCGTCCCGCGCGGTGGACGGTTGAATTTAGTATTGCACACACCTGATTGGGGCGTTTATAATGAAGAAGACCTTTATTGTGCACTTTTGCTCCACTTCTGGGATAGGTACAGGTCAGATGTGTGACGACCATACACAAAACAACTAACATGCGTATAAAAACTACCGATTTCCCCAATAAGGGCCAGATCAGAGCTCTGGGGCCAGATCACAGTCGTCGCACGATCGTCGTACGATCGCAAACAGACGGTATTCCTGAGATAGTCTTGTATATGTCGTAAATTTCAGCTGTCTTTTTACGGCTCTGCTTGAAAATTCTACAGAAAAATCGTGGTCTACGACAAACGTGACGCCGTGCCAGTACAGGGGGCGTGGCTACATTTCTGTCCCTATATCGTCCCGTCTTACCCCGAGATGAGAGTCACGTGGAATGTTAATGTATATAACTACAACGAGGGAGATTTAATAAGGCTAAAGCAATTAATGAAGCCTTCAACGCACGGGTGACCTTCACTACCTACGCGTGTGTTCGGTAAATAATGACGGCATGTTTTAGTACATGTGCGGGTACGTCAGAATATCCTTTTACCCGTCTATATGCAGTCTGTACATCTTCGCTTCATGGAGGGAGGGGGCTGTATGATGACTAAAGCTTGAGTCTACCAGCGTTTCATCGAATAGACATTGACAAATGTTGGACCGGCCCGTCGCCCATTCCTGGACTGCTCGGGACCCTGTGTTGTTGACGAGGCCAGAATAACGGATCTGATTGTTGAACGTTAATGTCGCATGTTGGGAAAGTGGACTGAAGATGAATGAATGATTTCTGAAGAGCAAAAATTCACGCGTAATGTTTCAATATGACGACAAGACACACTTACCCAAAGGCTAAATCATTGTCATAGACACATTTCTTGTTGTGGCACACGTTGCTAATCGCCAAAATGTCAGAAACGTCTGCATATGAAGCTGATGACCCGCATGATAAGGTATTGTGATGCCGAGGAGCGGTTATACCGGCTAGACAGATACAGACCCGGTGTACAATTTGACCTACTCTTTGTCTTGTGACTCCCTGAACTCTGATCTAATGTCGAGATATGGGGCGTGTTCTAGTAGACGGGCTCAGGCTCTAGTTATTGATCTCAATGATATTGGCCAGCCACTATCCATTTGGCAGGTAGCTGGCGAAAAAAAGGTACCAGTACAAAAAGAGCCTGATAAAAAAACGCAAAAACACGCCCAGGAATAAGCCTAAACCTCTGCTTGGATAGTATGAAGTTATGTCGATTGTTTAAGAATGTACGTATATATGTGGGTTCGATGTTACAGGAGTTGGGTGGGGGTGTACCATCTCTTGTATAAAATCTGCCTAGTCATAAGGCGTGAAAGATGCAGATATGGGGAAGGCAATTGAATAGTGCAACGAACGAACCAACCAACCAACCAACCAACATACAAAGATTGCTGTAAAATTCCGTTTCTACAGTTGCCCTGCATAGGACATGTGATGCCCATTCCTTATCTTGAGACCAGCATTTTGTAATTTGTCTAACAAGGTTCCGTGAACACGCGTATGGAGATGATTTGGCCCGTTAAGGCCACCTCGGGCCACATGACTGCAGCTAGCAGTGACGTGGTTGGTTATTTGGGGTCCTTGAGGCGAAGTCCTCCCAGCTAGCTACTTGTGCAGCGCAGAGGGAGCTCACACTGTAAGCCCAGAGAGGACAAGTGCACAGCGGTATATTCCCGCTCGGCGCTGACACTCGGATTGTCCAGATCATATCGTTCTTATTATCTCTTTGCGGATTTCTGAAAACGACCGCAGCATCATGAGCACGACGGTAGGTCTTTTCTTGTTCGATGATTCTTTTTTTCCTAACCCGAGGTCTCGTCAACGACGCCGACTAGCATTCTTGATAATGGGCGGTGGTTAGACAAAAATCCGCCGCGCAGACCTTTCTGTGTTTTGAACGCTCCATTTCACCCCAACGTTGACGGTAATGCAAAAAATCGTCACAAAAAATACAGGTCTGTAATTTTTAAAATCCCTTCTGTCGACTTATAAGTCTTTTTAATACATAATTGTAAAAGTAACATTTAAATGTCGTAAAGGTCATACACACCCGAAATTAAAGGGTTTTGGTTTACCTGAATGCGCTCGATAAATGCGGCTTTTCAGATTAATTTTACCAGTGATTAGGTAACAGTTACCTACCACCGGATGTTACACTGTCAGTTTGCAAACATAGGGCTTGCCAGAGTTTTTATGAGAAATAGTCCATCGAATGTTGCTTTGCATGACTGAGGTATCAAACGATAAGTTAAACGGTTCCGTCAGGCCAGGGTCGCCCTAAGCCTGAGGCTGAGGTGGAACGTGGAGGTAACTGCGTCAAACTTTTGACTAAGATCTAGAACTGGTTTAAACTGGTCAGATCCAGCACACACACACCCTTCCTGCGCGTTCGCGCACGTCCAGTGACATATCATATCTGACTGCTGTGCGTGAACGTTTATCTATTATATTCCACTGCAGCGGTGCCACGCCGTGTCGAAATGTTTCAGTAGCCCCTTGTAGCCTACTAGTATTTGTAGGACCCGTGTTATCGACATCGATGTTTCTCTCGGCGCAGACCAAAACATTTCTTCACGTTTGTCCGTCTGGGTGTCTTGGGACAGAAAACATGCGTCACGGGGCCCACAGCCACGGACCGAGGGTGTTCTCTTCTAGTATTAGCGGTACAATGTATTCCCCTCCCCTTTGTTTCCAGAAGACTAGCTAAGTAAACTGAGGGAAGGGGAACGTGATCACCACAGGATTGGTCCGTCACAAAGCCGGCCTTGTTCTCAATATACGTACCTCATACAGGAGCCAAATGAGACCAGCAAAATGTATAGCAGACTTACATATCAAGACATTAGCATGTAACATGACTGAAAAAAGGCATCAGAAAGTTTAAAATCGTAGCTGAGGTATGTTCTTCGCCGACCCTCCATAAGAAAAAATAATCAGCACATTCACTGAAGTGTGTGAGACTTTTGGGGCTTGTGTATAGAGAGTTTAAGCAGCACAAAGGCTATTCAGTCCAATCTAATTGGGGCGCTTCCGATCAGCCTCCTGGCTATTGGATAGTTGGGGTGTAATGGTGCATTGTGAGAATGGCCGTCAGCACCATGTGATGTGGGCAAGGATAGGCTGTGTCACGAGTGTCTTCGGGCGCTTGGTGTGAGGGGTTAGACTCTACCAGGCTTCGGGAGGCGGCTGGAAAGAGTAGAAATAAACATAGAGATAAACATGCCGGGGAGTTGGTCCACAGTGCGGTAAACTGTACTCTCTACCGGACCAACTCCCCCGGCATGTAATCTCTCTATTTTGCCAATTTCTACTCTTTCCTGGCAGCCGCCTCCCGAAGCCTGGTAGAGGTTATGAAGGGTACATTCAGGGCGCTGCTGGGATCCTCTAGGGATATACGTAGAATCTTCAGTATGATGAAGTTCACGGGTTTACAAATATCTTAAGTTCTGCTTGTCAAGAATGCTCCAAGAAAAGTTTCCTTCATCATCTTTCTTTATCCATCTATGCTCATAGTGGCCAATGAGGTTAAAAGCTCCTTGGGGTGGTACAGCAGATATACTGCTATTCGTGTAGAGTCCAAGGTAAAACAGTATAGAATCTACCATTGATGTCTATATGTGCCGTTGTGTTGTTACAGGCAGACGCCACGCCAGCAGAGAACGGCGATGTCGGGACGGCAGAGCCCGTGGCGGGGAAAGATGCTCCTCCCGCGGCGGAGAAGGAGGAGGCGGCGGAGCCTGCAGCAGACAAGCCGGCTGAAGGTAGGACAGTCTTGCGCCTTTGTTGGTATACATATAGAAGCAGAAGTCATATGTGTAGATTGCTGAGGCATGTCAAAAATGATATTTGTGTATAAAATGAGAAGGTGTTCTCCGGTCAACCGAATGACAGGTTTTTATTCACACAGTTACACACGAGGTCATGTGTGTGAACCCCAAAGGCATTACCCTTGAGATGTGTGCAGCATATACACAATCCATGTACCTGTTCTCTTCCACGCACCTGGCCATGGCGCAAGGATACAACAGAACACTTAGAACTCAGGAAGTTGCGCCGTGATCACGCTGAATGGTATTTGCAGTCTTGTGATCGAGTGACCGGCAATGAGTTGAGCAAATCTGCAAATGTGAGCGTTTTTAGTCCAGAACAAAAGACGTGGCGCGACAGCCCGTCGGAAATCTCCCCGGGCCCCCCTCATTTGGGCGCCGCTGGACGCTGATTTATCACGCGGCTTGTGTGGGTAACACTTAGCTGGATATAGGATGGTACGTGTTGTTTGTTTGGAGCGGTGCCAAAGTCAGATTTGGCATGAACGGGTGAACCACAAGCTGCATACAGAGTAAAGTCTTGTCTACTGACGTACGTGTGTGCTACATGTGACGCGTACGGTTGAAATGATGCCTGCATTATCTCCACTGCACAACATGGTTCCACAAACAAACGTCAACACGGTATTTAATGATGTAATGGGCTTACTCCTTGCCCCCATCTGTATATAGCCGCCTGCCCAAGGCCTTCCGTCCCCGCATCTGTCCCAACAACTGGTACGGCAGCGTCGTCCTCAGCGTGTCACGGCCTTGCCCTGGTCCTCCGGCAGCGTTTTAGATAGTTGGCAAGTTACTGGCATGTTCTTAGTCTCACTGGACCGTCGCTTAATGCATACAAGAGACATATTTATGAGATATATCTGAAACGCCCCCATCCAAAATAACTCCAAAAGACAGAATGTTGACTATAGACAGCAGATTTCAACACAGATGGATAGGAAGTCGCTGTCTATCTTAGTCACCTGACAAAACGTTGACAATTTGGTTCTCTTTATCATTCATCAAGGCCAAATTATTCTGCCGCCACAAAGTACTAGTATGCCCATCGACCGTGTTGTATTCGTACTCTTCCGACTGATGTCTTTGTTTTCGTAGCGGAGCTTGGCAAGACATCTTTGTTATCTCACCCGTTTAGTTCCGTACGCCAAGAAAAACGTAACTAGCTGTTTATTTGTTTGTTTATTTTCTAATACCCCTTTAAAATGTTTGGGATGATTTGGCTACCTCAGCTCCCGCTGAAATTCTAAAAACAAACAGTCCTAACCCTGATAATCCCCGACGTCACGTCGTGTGCTGATATTAGTATTCCGTTGTAAATACGGGTTGTATAAAGGAGAGAAAAGCACGTCCAGCATCAACAGTATCTGGATGTCTGTTATTTTCGGAAGTTGCTCTAGTTTTGTTTATCATCATAGACAATGGCTTATGTATGATGAGGGACCTAAAAATCAACACACAAAATTTGGGAGTTATCTATCATTTTGACACACCCCCGTCACTCCCAAAAAAAGCTATATGGAGAACCCTTATCGGACTAAAATACACATGTAAATAGCTAAAATACACAGTAAATAGCTGGAATTCGGGCGTGCTTTGAAGAATGACAGAGAGCGATGTCGGCAGATTACGTGCTCAGATTACAGCCCTGAACGTGACCTCATCATGACCCGGCAGTGTGTTTGAACTTAGGCAATTTATTACAAGGTCATTTTCCTAAAGTGCAACTGACACCAAAAGTCGGGCATGTTTCGTACAAAATTAAGCTGCCTTCTTACGGAAAAGGTTGACTAAGATTCCTGCCGGTGGTTGGTTCTGTCACAGACTGCTTGACAATCATTCCACATCAAAATCACCCGACTAGCTACGCCGAAGGTGACCGTGAGCGCGGTAATAAGAACAGCATTTAAAAGAAAAAACATCAGTGCTACCTTCATTACTGTAAAGTGAAGTACTATAGTTTAACAGGTACAAACGTAAGATTAACGTCGCAATTAACAAGATATCATTCCTTTTCTTGTGTTAACAGCTGAGGCCCCCAAGGAAGCAGCTGCAGACGCCGAGGCACCTGCAGCACCTGTTGAGGTACTCATAGTTGGTTACACAGTTGGTTACACATAGTCTGCACAAATGTTGCAAGTGGTTTTCTGTAAGTCATACAGAATACTTTAAGTAAACGTAACCACGACAGTTCTGAATCGACATTCACATAAGGCATATTTATAAACCACACTTCATTCCGACGCTAGTAATATTGATTTCAGCAATTCTATCTGATTGATATGCATCTATATGCTATTGATGTGCTAATGATTGAATCAGTTGACTGCTTTCTATGAGCATGACAATACGCCTTACTGCATGTAACACCGTAGGTATGAAATATGGGGTATGCATGCTTTAGCAGAGAGTACTAGTGTTCTGATAACAGTGCGGTCTCAGCTTGCTTGCCGTGGCATGCTTCAGTTTGGCGCTGGTGTCGCCTTGCTTGCTGGAGATAGAGGAAGGAGCTTGTGTACGTTGCATGATGCAAACAACAACGTCACCACCAGAGAGGACGACTGCCTGCATGATACGCTAGACGTAGAATTCCGCTCGACTGCTACAGCCGCTTACAGTGTGGTTGCAACCTCCTTAAAGAGGTTCATGGCTTGGTGCTTGCGTGGTAGTCGGTAGTAGCACCTTTCAATTGGCACCAAAGTCGGTGCCAAGCATCGTGTGCATTCGTCACTTCACCAGCCACTCTACCGAACACATTCCTTCAGTTCTCAGACAAGATCGAGGGTTTGAAACCAAACACTGTGCGTCCACTGTAGACCACCTCTAGCCGCTGCCCTTCGGGGCCCCAAGCAAATACCAGATGGGTGTGGCATGCTTCTTAGTTGGAGCCTCCGTAGTGAACGCCAGACTGCACTTGCTGCATGCTTACGGTAGGTGGAGTAAGAGAACAGAGTAGCAAGCTCTTGCTGACCGGAACATGCAAAAAATATTGACTCCACAGAACGGCGACGTTGAACAACAAAATATCGTAGCGGAAGAGAAGACGGCAGACTCGAAACCAGAGTCTGCTGCTGAGAACGGAGATGCAGAGAAAGCTGTGGAGGAGAAATCCGAATCGGCTGAAACACCTGCCACCCAGGAAGATACACAGACAAACGCACCTGACGAGGCCAAGACTGAGACAGCTGTAGAAGAGGCCAGTCCAGCTGAGACACCTGCTCCAGTAGAAACTGAGAAACAGGTGCACTAATACTTGTGTGTGCAGCCACGCTTGTACAATGCTTTTGTAAATGTGACGCTTGTCTTTGGGTGATCATCTTTTCCTCCTTAATTACTTCTTAAGTCATGCACTATATGTCCACCATGTCTGACCATGTCATGCACACCGTACTATCTTTGTCCCTTTTGTGTTGAGCTGTGTATATCACCAAAAAATAATGATTAACAAGAAACATACTTCCATTCATTTCTCTATCTATCTAACCTTTAGTGATATCCATAATGAAAAATGGACTGTTTCGTTTGATTTATTCTCATCAGTGATCAAGTTCACAAATTTCCTTTCATCAAACCGCACCCCGTAAAAAGTACTACGTATCATCAAGCTGATTTCTGCTTTGGGTGTTCTTGAACTTGGTATAAACCGGCTTAATAACAATCTCCTACTAAGAAGCCTAAACTATGGGTGTCAAAGAACAAAAAGAATCAAGAAGTCAAAGAAATGGCGGACATACAGGTGCAACAATGACTTGTACCTGAAGCTGAGCAGAGTTGCTGCAAGGTTTACTGATGTCGATATTGACGTACTCATCACAATACTAAGTTATTTATGGGTTACATGTATATGTTTGTCAACCAACTAATTTTTCAGCAAAGCTATCCAATGTATGCTTCTTGTCGCTTCACGTGCTGCCTTACCTGCTCCCTTCCTGCCTCACACTGTGGTCAACTATAAGCCAGCCTTCCCAGCAATCTGCTCCATGTAACATGCCATGTTTGCGTAATCCCGTGTTCTGTCATCTACCCAACCTGTCTAACCTTGCTACAGGAGGAGAAGTCAGAGTTAGAACAAAAGGAGGCGGAACCTCCAGAGGCCGCGACAGAGGAAGAAAAAGCCCCTACAGAGCCTGTTGGTAATGTAGGTCCAGAGGAAACTGCTGTAGTAGAGGAAGAGGTTGTTAAAGAGGTACAGGAAGTATCTGCTGAACCACCTGTCGAGGCTGCTGCCCCAGAAGAAAAGCCAGCACCTGCTGACGCTGAGGCAGAAAAAAGTCCAGAGGCGGCTGCTCCACAGGAACAGGAAGCGTCTACTGAACTAGTTGTCGAGGCTCTAACAGCAGAGGCTGTTGAAGAGGTACAGGAAGTATCAGCTGAACCTCCTGTCGAAGCTTCTGCCCCAGAGGATGTTGCTGTAGAGGAAACGTCGGCACCTACTGAGGCCGAGGCAGACACAAGTACAGAGGGTGCAAGTACAGAGGCGGTGACTGTAGAGGTACAACAAGCTGAGCCAGCTGTCGAGGTCGCAGCAGAAGTTGTTGAGGAGGTCCAACAGATTTGTCCTGAACCAGTAGCCGAGGCTGAGCCTGCCGAAGAGGAAGAGCAAAAACCTGAAGTCCCCACAGAGGAACTGAACGTGCCTGCTGAACCAGCTGTCGAAGCTGAAACGACGGAGGCTGCTGAAGAGGTACAGCAAGTCTCGGCTGAAGCAGCCGTGGTGACGAGTGCTGTAGAGGGAGTCGTTGAAGTAGAAAAGGTTGCAGAGCCCGAAGCGGATGCAAGTACAGAGGACGTTGCTGTAGAGGAAAAGTTGACACCAACTGAGGCCGATGCAGAAAAAGTACAGAGGATGCAGGTGCAGAGGCGGTCCCTGCAGAGGAACAGCAAGCCGAGTCAGCTGTCGAGGCCCCAGCAGAAGTTGTTGAAGAGGTCCAACAGATTTGTGCTGACCCAGGAGTCGAGACAAGTGTTGCAGAGATCGTCGAACAGGAAGCCCCGGAGCCTGAGAAAGCCGAGGCTGAGTCTGCCGAAGAGGAAGAGCAAACACCTGCTGAAGCCGAAGCTGAGGAACAGCAAGCGTCTGCTGAATCAGTTGCTGAGGCTGTTACAGCGGAGGCTGTTGCAGAAGAGGCTAGTGAAGAAGCACAGCAAGTGTCTGCTGAAGCACCAGAGGAGGTCAGTTCAGCCGAGCCTGTTGTAGAGGAAGAGCAAAAACCCGAGGGAGAGGAACAGCAAGCGCCTGCCGAATCAACTCCAGAGCCCGAAGCAGCAGCAGCTAGTGAAGAAACACAGCAAGCGTCTGCTGAACTAGCAGAGGAAGAGGCGAAACCCGAAGGTGCACCAGAGGCGGATGGTACAGACGCCGTTGTTGCAGAGGAACAGCTTCCTGAACAAGCTGTTGTAGAAGATGTTGTTGTAGATGTTGTTGAAGAGGTAAGGCAAGACGCTGCGGGACCAACAGTGGAGGCAAGTGCAGAAGAGGCTGTAGTTGTAGAGGAAGTACAAATGTCTGCAGAGTCAGCGGTAGAGACCGGTACAACAACCGGTGCGGAGGAACAGCAATTAGCTGTTGAGACTGTCGTTGTTCAAGAGACACAGCAGTTGCCTGCTGAATCAGAGGCTGCTGTTACAGAGGAAGTCCAAAACTCTGCTGAGCCCGACGCTGAAACTAGTTCAGAGGTGGTTGTCGAAGACGCACCAGAACAGACAGAGGATATCGCAACCCCCGAGCCCACTCCTGAAACACAAGACATTGTCACTTCCCCTGACTCTGTTCCCGCAACATCACAACCCGCAGAACCCTCTGAACCTAGCCCAGATAACCAGGTGGGACACGGTGCAGGGGGATCGTAGTTTTGTTTAGGTTTTATGTAGTTTCACATTGCAGTTGCCTCGGTTGTATTGTTCTAGCTTATACTAGTACATGTAGATGTTTGAATAACATAGAACAGATTAGCTGGCGTAACTGCAAGGATGTACATATTACCACGACTACGCACAGACCAATGACTAATGACGAATATACTTTATCACGTTACATAGTCACGTTAAGAATATCATCACCAACAATCATATTTCTATGTTTTCTTTCATGTCATGGACGTGGACTAGTACTATTTAATTTCAAATGCAACGTTGACGTTTTAATAGACTGACTAAGGTACGAAGGTGTTAAGTCGCCAAAGGCGTTTAGGTTGCCAAACCACTTCAGCTGAGCTGACATTAATTGCAACCTTTCGTTCAAAGGAGCAGAAGGTAGAGGAGGCGCCTCCAGCAGAGGCCCCGCCAGCGGAGGAGAAAACAGCGGAGGCGGCCCCAGCAGAGGCAGCACCTGCCGAGACGGCACCAGCAGAGGCGGCACCTGCTGAGACGGCACCAGCAGAGGCGGCACCTGCTGAGACGGCACCAGCAGAGGCGGCACCTGCTGAGACGGCACCTGCTGAGACGGCACCAGCCGAAGCAGCACCTGCCGAGACGGCACCAGCAGAGGTGGCACCTGCCGAGACGGCACCAGTAGAGGCGGCACCAGCTGAAGCAGCACCTGCCGAGGCGGCACCGGCAGAGGCGGCACCAGCAGAAGAAAAACAAGCAGAGGCGGCACCAGAAGAAACAACACCTGCTGAAACACCAGCAGAAGAGAAACCCGCTGAGGACGCACCAGCTGAGGCAGCGCCAGCAGAGCAAGCGCAAGCGGTGGAAGCTGCCCCAGTTGAAGCGGCGCCTGCAGAGGCAGCTCCAGCTGAGGAGACAGCAGCGCCAGTAGAAGAGAAAGCAGCAGATGCTCCAGAACCTGTAGCTCCTACAGAGGTAAGACATCCGTTATCCGCTAAGTTTGCAACAATACTCAACATTCAATTTCAAGGCAGACTGTAAGTTTACCACCACAATGCCTTACGCTATAAACGCTACTTATTTCAGAGCACATACAACAGCCTTTTTTTCTATCGCCAGAGCACATACAACAGCCTTTTTTCTATCGCCATGTGGAATTTGTTTCTCTGCTTCTCACAGGAATCACCTGCCCAGGAAGAAGCACCTGTAGAGGCTCCGGCAGAGGCTCCGGTGGAACAAAAAGAAGATGCCCCATCCGAGGCCGCTGCAGCAGACCCTCCAGCAGACGCACAAGAACCTGCGGCAGAACAGGCTCCGGAAACACCTGCGGAAACGACAGCTGAGGAAAAGGTTCCGGAAGAGCCAGCTGAAGCAGCTCCAGCAGAGGCAGCTGCAGAGGCACCAGTAGAAACACCCGCCGATCTGCCCGCAGAGACACCAAAAGAGGAAGCCGTAGAAAAACCAGCAGAGGAGACGCCAGCAGAGGAGAAACCTGCAGAGGAGACGCCAGCAGAGGAGAAACCTGCAGAGGAGACGCCAGCAGAGGAGACATCTGCAGAGAAGCCAGCAGAGGAGACAGCAGCAGAGAAGCCAGCAGAGGAGACGCCTGCAGAGAAGCCAGCTGAAGCAACGTCAGAATCACCGGCAGAAGCTGCACAACAGGTAACGTTGCTGCAGAAAATCTCCTTGCACAAAGCCCTTATCTAAACATTTGATGAAGTCTTTGACCCTTTAAGCTAACAGAGCTACCGATATAATAGCCATACATAGTAGGACTACTGTATCTTGGTACCTGTTGCTGCAGCATCTTTCACAATGACGAATATCAAACTGTGCGTTGTGTCCAGGTTATACATGTTGATATCAATGTTGATATCCTTTCAAGCTTTTAATTTGCAGCCTTTCCTGTGCTTCATTGTGGACCCACCTGCCACACACGGTGTATAACTTATAAAACACTGTCTTGGTTTACCATTAACAGGAGGCTGAACCAGAGCCAGCAGAGTCTAGTGCTGTACAAAAGGCAGAATGAGACTGTGAGTATCGCCATGCAATTCGTCTTACTTGCACGTTTTAAGCCCATTCTATATATTTACATACAGCATTTTGTCCAAATCTGTCATATACTTAATTTCACAAAAGGGTAGTCATTTTGTATTTCGTCATGAAAAGGATGTGCATTCTAAGTTCTGAAAACAGGCAGCAAGATTTTTATTTGGGTTTTTACTTCTATTCTTCGTTATTTCATGGTACCCATTTTTTCAGTACTCTTGAATGTTAGCTATAGGCTAGGTTCTCAAAACGAATTTCGAGCCCTGCCATGTAGACGCTTAAGAATCCAACGTGTTCTTGACAACTCAGAAAGGTAAAATGCTGCTACGGAGAGGAAAAACAGTTTCGAAATACGTGTTGTCTGCGTACAAATTAATGAATAACCTTAGGTATTGTATTTTTTCTACAGGAAAGGCGATGAGAAGAGTTGAAGATAGTAAAAGGAGACAGAAGAGACGGGAACCAAGAAGGAAAGCTGCTATTTTTAGGGACAAAATGGCAACTAAATATGAAAAGTGCTCCTACGTATAACTAGGAGGGGGAATGGGGAGGAAGTGAAAGAAACCTAGGATAAAACTTGGTCAATATTTGGTCAATACTGGAATACGTGAAAGCTGCTCTTTTGTACTTTTGTACGCCAGGATACATTGAACATTGCCTTCAACATACCGAGGGTATTTTCGATGTGAGATTTCTTTCTGAAACATGAAACTTTCATACGTTTTGGAAATTGATTCATTGTAAACTACAAGGAAATCAAATAGTGTGCACGCAAGCTATATTTTAGTGCTAATGAATTAAGAATATCTCTTCCTTCTTCATATGAAATGGTCAACGAAAGAAAATCTCTAGCACATGTCTGGTAGTGTAGCAAAGAAAAATGTTGGAATCAACGTATTCAAGAAAAAATAACATTGCCAGCTAATAATTTTCTTCAGTAATGTACTTTGTCACATCCAGTGTGTAATTTTGTCTTAATAGATAATAGATTAAAAGGAAAGGCAGTTGTAAAACACGAAACAATAGAGAGGGCGGGACATATAGATACACTGTATGGCTTAAACAGTCATTTGAAGGTGCTTCCTTTATCGGCGTTATAGACGCTACCTGTACATAAGAATCTTGCAGGTGGATATTTCTCTGGTACAAGTAAATGTAACATTCTCTATCCAGCCTGAGGATCTAGGAAGAATTTGAACTATCATGTCAAACAGTGAAATGTACTGTCTATTTCCTCTCGCCAAAACCTCAAGCCAAGGTATCTTTGTAAATTGAAATTGTAGGCATTTTCCACACAACATGTAGCGACTGTGCCCTAGGTTTGATGAGCCTTGATAAAACGCATTTCCACGTGACGTTGATAGGAGCCAAAGGTTCAGAAATGGATGAAGAATGATCTTTGATCAGTTGTAACTCGTGTGATAGGGTGATGAATATATCGGTTACTGCCAGGGATATGCATTGGATACTTTATGGGAGTTACCTGTATATCTTGTCTTTTTGTAACTAAATATCTAACCTGAATAGGGTAATGAATTAGTGGGTATCATTGTTTATGAAATTCCGTGTGTCTTATCAATGTAAGTTCCGAAAGGGGGTCTGCCGGAAAACATGGTGATGTTTACTTTGGAAAGGTCTGACTTACTTCACTCATCGATATTTTGGGGGCTCCAAGCTCGTTCAGTGCACATGCTGTCTATACTTTGGGCAAACCAAATACAAATGTAACAAAGCTAAGGGGTTTCTTGACTTGATGTTCGAGTTCTCATCACCGATGCACCTTCAACACCCCTTTCCTACTAGACTTACAGTGAATGGTGCATTCTTGAACGATGTCGTTTGTATGCATATAATGATGACCAGCACTAGATAGCACATGAAACTGAATTGAATTTAATTGAAAGCGTGTATGCACTCTTACATTAAACAGATAATTTTTCCAAGTATTAGAATGACACAAAACCATCTCAAAAAGTATTTTACCACAGAAGAAACCAGAGTTTTTCCAGTAAGTGACATTACCGAACTGTAAAGTAGTAGGTTGATGCTGTGTATGTATTTTTGACAATAATTCCAAAGCTGGCAACAACGGTGTCGATATTCCCTGAGGAAAAATGGATGGTCAATGGTGCTCTTTTAGGGTAAAACAGACTACAGAGATAGGTGTAGATCTTCTATGAAACAAGCAAATGTCACCTTTGTGTGGCGTCTGTAAAGCATCACACACCCACTGGTCAAAGTCAAGGATTATTCTGGAATATGATCTATATTTCGCAATTCAAGATACATGCATAATGTTATGGAATATATGGGTAGAGGCATTAAATGTTTTGACTTACAGATTTTGTGTATGTGCTTGTTGCTGTTTTTATAAGATGTAGTTACACTTGTTTGCCGCCAAATTTCTTGTAACGTTTTAGGTCGTCCAATCTCCCTTACTGATATATTCTAGATACATGAGAGGCCTTATCAACAGCCATGCCAATATCTGATTCAGTCGACAGTACGTTCTTAAACTACCAGTAGCTGCTTTCACTACCTGAGTTCTCTTGCATGAATTGCACTTGGATAGATTCACGTTTCCTAAGCTACCTGTGACATACACTCGCCTTGACGAGTAGTAGTAGCAGGAGTACCACTCCTAATATTTCATGACGTTTACCAACGGACAAATACTACGAACACCTAACGTCCAATGCATCGGTGGCAATACTATTACAATCCTGCCACGTTTTCAAGTTCACGCACATGCACTGCAGCATGCCATTCTCGATCGGTGTAAGAATCTTTATCATCTACGTACACATGTATTCTATACTCAAGTCAATAAAGAACAGAGATGAAAAAAAAAGAATCTTAGATGCGATGAAGAAATAATTACTAACCAGCAGATGTTTTAACATCCCTTCCCATACGTGAATACTTTACTAGTATGAACCACTTCTGTGCATCACATAGCTACTACGTATACATTGTGCTCGTAATATGGAGGTGTTTATTTTTGTTCCAAATTTCCGTCGAGCCCTACGATCTTCCCGAGTACCAAATGGAAAACATCTCTCGAAAACTTTTAATGAAGGCGAGAAAATTCTTCCACCTGTTGATCTTTCCTCCCTCCATGTTGTCCGCCTCCTCCTCCAACCTTAGCGTGAGTTCCTGTAATATCTTCTCTCTTTCTCTCTCACATTTTCCTCTTCTCTCCCATCTTATCATCGTGCGCATGTAAGACTTTAAGATGTACCTGAGTTTCTTGACTTGGTTGAGTTCCTTATCCAGATCTTTAAGTGTCTGCTGTTGACGCGAAGTTGGAGGTGTTGTTTTGCTGTAGATGATGTTGAGGTGGTGTTGCAGCAGTGCCTCTGTGGCCATGAGAAGGACGTACAGAGCGCCCAGCATGCGCTCCTCCTCGCGGCTCCAGGCGTCTCTCTGGCGGTCCATGGTGCAGGCTATGCTCATGAGGAGGAGAGCTCTCACTTTGGCCTAAAACGACAGAATGATTATGAATTGGATTTATTGTGTACCCAAATTGAATTTATTTGGGTACACTGACCTATAGCAACACTGTACAGACACAAATACCATAAATACACAGACTAAACACGCAAATATAAGGCATGGTATCATGCTGTGGGCTCATGATCAGTATAGAGGATCACCACTGAACTGGCAAAGCACAAGATACCATTAGCGGGACTGAGCTCCCGAATCTTGGCAGCCTTCAAATCATCTGCATAGTTATATGCTATGCTACGACCATCTTTCGTACAAAGAGAAGCCTTAACAACTTCAAAGGAACACGATGCGAAGTCATAAACAGACACAACTACTCTTGAAAATGCACGGCACATCTAACGTTAACTACATGTTGGCGTCGAATGAGTGTGTCTGTCCTTGGTGCTGAACGCTATCCATACACACGTTTCACCATTTTTGGATGTCATTATCCATTAATTATTACACGCTGATTAATATAATAAATCACCTTGGTGTTTCTTCCAATGACCTTCAGCTGGGCTTTTGCCATAGCCTGGCTCCGGGCATCTCGGGTCTTCGTTCTTTTTTTCTGTCCGTCATCGTGATCGTGCCTTCTGCTGGCACGCCAATAGTTGTTAGTGTTGAAAAACTTGAAAGGAGCGAGAGCTCTAGACTTCGGGACTTTGTGTGATATAGCCAGAATAGATGTGATACCGTCCGCTACTTTACCTCGCCGAGAGTTTTCTGTACTAGTACAGTAGTAGAAGCTGCGTGGTAGACGACACGCTGTAACCGTAGTCTGCAGCATAGGTGAAAGTCGCCAGCGGGCGTTTCCAAGCGTTGCACCATTCAAGACTTCTTTGAGGAAAGGTCCCCGAGCTGCAAGCATTATATCATTGGTATCAAGACATAAAGGCCGAGTATATACTGTCTGTGTTTGAAGAAAAACAAACGTCGTTCCTGAACAATAAGTCCTTTGGATGTTTTGTTTTCCATTCAGGCGTCACTTTGACATTCAGACATTATGACGTTCGAAAGGGGACTTTTCGAACAACGGAGTCCTTGGATACGTTCTGCGCTTCTATACAAACATTCGGAACATTTCAAAAGATTTTTTGCCACTAGGTGCATGACGTAACCATGACGCTTTTCCAGGGTTTTGGATAAACATTTACTATAATCTCATGCCGACGACTTTCCAGTGCTTTGTCAGTACATAACAATGGATGTTTTAAATATTCTAGCAGATAACGTATATCTTCCAGCCCACGGAGAGTAAAAGCTCAAGTTTCTTTTCCGTTCTTTCTTGATTGTGAACCAGACTCCGTCACGGATTTTTCCCGCCAGTTTTTTCCGACGCTCTCTATATGTCCTATGTATTTACCAAAATGTGGAACTGAGGCTTTAGAGTCTTTATCAACTTTACGTTTCTTCACACTCACGTCGATGATAAATGACCGTGCTACTGTTGCAGGGTCTTCGCTCGGATTTCTAGATTTTTGTCTGTAACAGAAGTTGTGTTGTTGGTTCCAAAAGTTGTACTCCGCGCCAAAAGCTTTCGTCGGGCGCACCCATAACTACTTCTTCCTAAAACAGCGGAAATGCTTGGCATTGTGGGTGGATCAAACCCGGAAGTGGGAACCGATCAGACGGCTGTTGGGGAGCTGAGCCGGAGAAGCTGGTGCGTTGTGCAGGGTTTAAGACTGCCGTATTTCCTCGCGTCTCGTCGCGACAGCATGGCTCAGGCAGCTCTCTCCGACGGTGGGTTCGTCAGACTCGAGCTCAAGCACGGTAAGACGCAATTCTAGCCTGTTTGCATGGCGCGTTGTATTGCAAGGCGCGATGTTTTTCTGGCGATAGTGCAGCGCGTCTAGCAAATTGAGCCCAGGCGAAGTCTCCGCTACCTTAACTGTTTATCGCCGCCCCAGACGTACACTGATACCTTCTATAATTTATTCTAGCCGCTGCCTTAACAGCCCTTGGCGCCCCTAGCCAGTGTCAAGTGCGGAACAGCGCTGCTTTATAGCCCAGAAGGGGAAACTGGCGCTCGACTGTTTACGTGTGAGCGTGGGTTCCTCCGGGCTATGATAACCAACTGTTGAAACTTAATTTGTTTTCACGATCAGGTGCTCGAGCTTTCTCAAATCACATGTCCTTGACTCGGTTCTTTCCCGTTCTTCACAAATATTTCATCTCCGGGGAAGCGTAAGCCATCCAAGGACGTTTTTCTAGGTCAATCCACAAACTGTGTTAGCGGGCAAATTTGCTGTCTGTGAATTTGTCAACTTAGAATCCCAGAGGAAATTTCTCTGTTGTTTGTTGAACTATTTCAGAAACAGGTGCAAGTTTTCCCCTGCGCTGTTAAAAGAGGGAAGGCAAAAAAAGTCCAGATACGTCTAAAATTTGAAATCAAATTTTAGGTGGTTGTGTGTTGTTCAAAATCCATTTGTAATATGACACCTTGAATACGTTGTTGACCCCTTAATTCGAGCAGCGCTTCCAATTGTTACAGGATATAAATGTATCCGTTCAGAACTTGTAACATATTGTTTCTGAATTTTGTGTATTAATGGTGAAAGTATAGACAGTAATCTAAGTCCCTATGGGACAATATACCAGAATGAAGGTGACATGTTTTAAGAGAACTATTTCCTTGACACGGCAATCACCAAATCATTACGAATTGTTGAATGTTTTAATGTTTAGAAACAGTGGGGGGGGGCTTTAATTACTGTAGTTGTATAGGCTTCTAGATTAGAAATGAGCCAAACTCAAAGAGATAAGAAATATTGCACGTTTTCTGCTTCTTGGAGCTTTCTTCTCCTTTTCTCCTAGGCAATAAATGTTGTGTTCGACTTCATGTATTTGACAGTTTCATAGGATTAAATCATAACTGTAACATTACAGCATTTTTACTGCTGTCTTCTAGATAGGAATAAATCAAAATGGATTTAAACAAGGTTTAAAGTTCTTTAATCTATGTTCAATGACGAATCCTGCGTTTAGTAGATAACACCATTTCTTAGAAAATCTACTTTCTTGGTATACAAAAGTATAATGTCAACAATATCCACAATATCTTTCAACAGTCGTGAATGAATTGTTTGATGTAATTTATCATGAGGTATTTATTCAATGATAAGAAGTCTGCCATGAAATTACAGGTAGTCAGAACCTCTTAACGTTACAGTTATATAAGAACAGGGTTAAGGTATTGAGTTTCACTCTTAATAAATCAAAATAATGAGTAGTGGTCTGCTCCAATTCTTTCCTTACAGGATGTAGGCTTACTGGTAATTGCCTTTCAGTCTTTCAGGTATAATTCTCTCCAACACACCTGTGTCCCAGATCTTGCCCTATCCATCAACGTTGCACACGTTTGAATCCTTTCAAGTAGGAAAAGATCAAAGGCCAGGACTAAAATGTACTATTATGTAGCCTTTTCAGTGTGTGTGTGGGGGGGGGGGGAAATAGATGTTTAAACTTTCCAAAACACTCCTTATGTGAATGACCTTGGCTTCCAGATTTTGTAAGAGTCGAGGTCACTTCATTTGGGGACACAGTGTTT